ATATGGCTTTATTTCTATGGGGAAAGTGAAATAAAGCCATAAGCAAAAATTTTACATGTGAGAAATAAAGCCATACGGTGTTATTTCATTTCAAAAAGTAAATGTTATCTCTTTAGCGGCGGTCCGCGTTGGCTCGCCACCCCGCGCCGTGCTCATACTCCGCGCCACGCCTCCAGACCTCGTATAAAATTGTTGCTTTGTTCATTCTTCTTGCTTTTGATGATATACATAAATATGTACATATATGAGGTTTTCTTTTAAATCAGTAAGATATATGTAAACATCTATATATCGTCGATTAAAGTACAAAACCGCTTATCAACATAATGTAAAACCGCGTATCAAGATAACGCAAAACCGTGTAAGTCAGGTCGCATAAATTATTTTGTAGAGAGTAAAAACACTCATATTTCAAAATTGTTCTCTCTTTTATAAAGCAATCGCATTTATGGCTAGTATATTTCAGCACGAATGGATAAGGCTTGAGCCAAGAGCTTCGGTGAGCAAACCCAATTTTTCGCAAAAAATGTCAGTTACGTGGTTTTGCAGAACCACGATACGCGGTTTTGTACTTAAAACGACGATATATGTATGTAAATATAAGAGGTTGAGTACTCTTCGTTTTTGTCCTTAACAATTTTATACATATTTACCTCAAGTTAATATGCATCTTACCGATTTCAAAGGAAATTTCATATACATACGTATATACTTATATCTATACAAATTAATGTATATACATTAGGGTGGCCCAAAAATGCATGTGAAAAAGTAAAGTCGGGATTTTTATGCTCTCACCCCCTAGGATTGTTTTATACCGAAAAAAGTATACCCCTGTTTTTTTATTTTGAAATAAAAAAATATTTAGAGGTCGCTAAAAGCGCTCAAAGTTTTCCATGTATTTTTGTATGGGGAAAAAACATTTCGTAGAAATGGCATAGAATTCTCGTAGAATTTTACTCAGTTCAAATGTTTTTTATTCGCACAAGCTCTTGGTAGGTTCTTAATTTTACGGCAAAATGATGAGAGAGATGGATAGTGGACGTGTTTGCCATGAGCGAGCGAGACATATAGTGACGTCACGCAGTGAGACGGAGATGCGTCGTTTAAACGCGAGCGAATGAAACAGATACAGTCGCCATACCAAGCAAATGGCTACGCTATCATCTGACACCAGTCTGACGCTGTAACTGCAACACTGTAGTTAGTACGTTTCGCTCATTCGTCTACAGCTCACCTTTCCTATTCGCTTGTGTTGATTTAGTACTGACAACTTTGGCTTTTTGGACTTGGATCTTTGTGAATTGGACTTGTTGATTACATACCGGCAACTTTGGCTTCTCTCTTTTGGAATTGGACTTTTGTGTTGGCATCCTTGTTATCTACCACGCCTACGCGCTACACTTCACAAGAATATGCGAACATGCACCTCATTTATGGAGAATGCAGATGCAACGCAAGGGCTGCCGCTAGACTTTATCGGGAAAGATATCCAGATTTAGTGCGCTATCCGGATCACCGCGTGTTTGTTAATGTGCACCGTTCACTCACAGAGGGCGGCCATTTCCCGAATCAAATAACGGCTGGAGGTAGAGCTCGCTTTCCTTACGAGGAAGAAGTGTTGCAGATGACCCAAGTATTTCCGTTCGTGGAATTGAAGAAAGAACGGGAATACCCAAAAGCAAAGCACATTGTATTTTACAAAGCGCCGAAATGCATTCGTTTCACGTACAACGAGTTCAAAGTCTTCTTCCTCGAGATTATCCTGAAAGGATTTCATTTTGTAGAACAATGCTACAGAGGCATAATAAAATCCCCAATTCATCCAACACATTTAATGCGATAAGACAGATCCCAGTATCGCTTTAAAGTAAACCTGTGGACCGGAATTTTAAACGGCAAAATTATTGGGCCTTTAGACCTGCCTAAACACTTGAATGGCACGAATGACCTACATTTTTTACGAGAAAATTTACCAACTTTGTTAGAGGACATACCACTAACAGATCGTCGCCACATGTGGTATCAAAAAGATGGCTGCCCAGCGCATTACGCAGTGCAAGTAAGAGATTTCCTTGACCAGGAATATCCGGGAAGGTGGATTGGACGTTCAGGCACTATCTCGTGGCCAGCCCGTTCCCCAGATTTAAATCCCCTGGATTTTTTTTTATTGGGGCGTCTCAAAGAAAAAGTTTATTCAAAGCCTACTGAGGACATCCACTCTCGAGGATATGCCCGGCTAATAAGTAGATCTTTTTTAAGAAGATGTAGGGCGTGTATTGAGGCTGATGGTAAACAATTTGAACATTTATTGTATTAAAAAATGTTATTTTCCTATCTGACTTTTATTCCAATAAACCTAAACTAAACTAGGTCAAGATTTTTCATTATTTTATTAATTTTACTTACTTTTGTTGACTTTGGTAAAAGTGGCGTCACTATCTGTCTCGCTCACTCATGGCAAACATGTCCACTATCCATCTCTCTCATCATTTTGCCGTAAAATTAAGAACCTACCAAGAGCTTGTGCGAATAAAAAACATTTGAACTGAGTAAAATGGGTTAGCAAAAATCGGGTTACTTGAGGTTTTTATTTTTTTACTCGTTTTTTTTTAGTATGAAACTAAAAAGTATTGTACCATTTTAGAATCCTGATTAAATGCGAGAACTTTTAATGGCACTTGCCAAGGCACTTTGGTACATTTTTTTTAAAGGAGGGCCTTTCAAAGTCGACAAATTATAAAAATTTTAAATTCATAGTTTAATAAATAGTCTTAATTCTAGAAAACTTGGGGCAATTGTGTCATTATTTTTGACTTAGGTTCTAGAAATGTTATTTAGGGTTAAGGTTCCAAAGGTTAAATGGACAAAAATAATAAAAATTAACCACAATAACCGAAAAATGGTTACAGTTAGACCAAATTTCTAGGTTTTTTTAAATGCCCATAATTTTCAAACTGCATGGGATAGGTTTTTTTTTCCTGATTTTTCTCATGATGGTTACAATCAATCCTGTTACCCCGTTTTGTAAGATTTACTTATATAAAATTTAAGCGTGTATAATATTGCTAATGACAAAACCGAAAAGTACTCAGCATTGCAGACGCCATATAAGGAAAACTGGATTATTACGAAATATAAATAAAATGGCAGCACTTTACGCCATTCTGAATTTTCTCGTTTCAGTTCGGGAACATTGTTTATTTGTTTTTTAATAACAAAACAAACAATCTTTTGTTTTAAAATTTATGTACTTCTTGAAAAAGTTTTTCAAATAATATATTTTACTAGTGGTTCATAAGAGAATATTGGTGATTTAGTGCATTTTTGAGCATGCAATTACTCATAAAAAAGAGCAACATTTCGAAAAAGTATTTTTTAATAACTTTTACACCGAATTGTTAATACTGGGATAAAAATGTGCCGATTGGTACTCCTAACAGTTTTGGACGTTTTTTTTTTTGTTCTGAAAGTTGTACCTTGAAATATAGAATTACCGAGTTACTTTATGTACATATGCACACCAGCTGTGTACTAGGTAAACATTACACAACAAACTGTAATAGATACATATTATCGAACGCTGTCATGAAATTCTTGATTTTTGCAAAGTTTTTGCGGCAGAGGCGGGAGTGTGTCTGTAGGTAATGACAGCCGAGCAAGTTTGCAAACATGTGCGCGAACATGTTTGTCGTTTGTGGCCAGCTTAATTGCTTGTTTTTACAATTATGTTTATAAAGGTTTTTAAAAAATGAGGGTACTTGATTACTTATCAAAAAATACGACTGAAACCAATTTTTGAAAGCTTTGACCTTGAATAAATTTTTTAGAGGACGTGGGGATTTTCAATATTTTACCTAAAACCAGTGCAGTTCTATGCAAGTTACTGTACTATTACTTTTATGTCTATTTTGACCGAACTATTTATTTTTGGAACGGGAAATCTGTTTTTTTGATTTTGTTGTCTAGAGGTGTTTAACGAATTGATTTTTACTTTTACTTGGACGATGGAGTCCGTTGGTGTAATTCGCATTTAAGATTTTTAATATTCTGGGCCCGAATCGCGGCATTCGATATCGAACGTAACCTAAATCGAAATTTGATTTTGAGATTACGGCATTCGATATCGAGTGTTCTTCGCCCATATAAATTGTATTGTGGAGAATACAGCTGCCATCTTGTTTGATTCGATTTGAAACGAGTAATCACTCGATCACGAATGCCGCGATTCGAGCTCTGATATCCTGTTGGTGGATATCTTGACTAATTGTTATTACTGTAATCCGTTTTATTATGATTTGTAACTTTTGGGAAATTTGTCCTCTTATTATTAGATTTCCATTCTCTTGGTTTGGCCAACACGTATACTGTTTAAATTGATCGGTCCGGTTATTGATAACTTTTTTGTAAACATAAAACACCTTATTTTCATCTGTTCTAAAGTTTTTAGTTCGTAGTTAAAACATATGCCAAAATAAAAAGCATGGTCAATATTTCCACAAAAAACATGTAACTAATACGGCTTTCCCACGGCACCCCAATCACGTGGTTTGCTCTCTCATTCGTAATTCGCACTCCAATTACCCTTCGAATTACTTAATTCGCCATACACAATTTTTAGAGCGAATTACCTCATTTGTTGGTAGTTCAGATCCAAATACCATGCGAATTGCGAACAAATCGGTGCTGTCTCTAAATTTATTGAAATTAGCTCACAAATAAAAACTTGCATTTTTTCTGTATACGAAACATAAAATTTTTTAGTAAGAACCTATATTTGCATCAATTATGCAGCGAATAATAACAAAAACAAAACACAGAGACAGAGAACTGTCAAATTGAATTAAGAATGTGCCCGTGGGAATGGGGTATTTCCCGATCGTAATTGGGGAAGCGAACAACTTAATTCAGAATGCCATGCGAAAATGGTATAAGGGCAGAATGTTTAAAAACGGCTTTAGTGTAATGTGTTCTTAAGTATGTATATTCTTTTTTTTTAGATTGGAGCATTCTATGGTACGTGCCTCGATTTATCAAAGCAATTAACCACAGCAAATCGGCCTCCACTGCAAATTTTCGATTTTGAGGATAATATCATACTAAAAAGTTACAATTTCAAAGTAAATAGCACAATGGCAACTGTGGCAACAATACCTAGTTATAACAGACAGCAAAGGTACCGTTTATTATTAAAATTAAAATAAATAAATGCAATCCTAACCACTTAATTTATATCTTAGTACTGATTCTGGTTGGGATAACCCTTTTAGGCCTGGAGGAGATTTATCCCGAGAAGCTGATGAAATAGTTAATATGATTAGAGGTAATTGTAATCAAATGTCGATAAAAATTTTAGAGAATTAATGTCGCAATTTGTAAAACGTATACATAAAATTCTCCGCTGAAGGGTGTATAAAAGACTTACAGCCGCACTCAGAGTATTTTATTTTTCCTCAGTAAAGATTTGAAAAAATTCCCTCTCAGAGTCAGTTAATGATTCATTAACAACATTTAATGGACAAAGTAAAACTTTTGCTTAACTTTTTTACGAATGGTTATGAAACTTTTTGTTTGTTTTCAATAAATTTCAATTTCGCTAACGTTGCTATGTACAACAGTCGGAAAGTTAATTACATTTTTTTTATTTTACTTTTTAAGTTATATTATTTTTTTATATAAATATTTTTTTTTACAGTTAATGTAATAATGACATTTTATTATTTCAACTTTTAAGTTTTATTATTTTTTTATATAAATATTTTTTTTTGCATTTAATGTTAAGAAATTTTTTGAAGTGAAACTTCGTAGGCGGCGGTATCGCAAAAATTGACAGTGAAATTTTTAAACTTGGAAAACTTACATGAGTAAGAAGGAAGATATAGTATTGAGAAGGGGCAAAAAGATAGAAAGCGACGTATGCACATTTATACAACCCAGCAAGCATTTCACTAAATGTTTTTAAAAATAACTCAAAGTAAGGTTGCTATAATAAGCGTTAAATAAGTGTCATACTCGAGTCAATTCCGAGTAAATAAAGTACACTCGTCTTTTAAAGTTTTTTGTTAACGTTTTATAGCAGGGGTGAGGAAGGCCGAGGCCGAGCGCCAGTATGGTCGCCGGGGACCAGTAGGACGCAGTGGATGAAGTACAGACGACACCAAACACTGCACTTAGGACAGTGACTGGATGCCTTTTGATGTCGCCAGAATAACACCTCCACCACGAGGCGAAAATGCTCCCTATTAAGGAGCATTACACAATACTCTGCAAGCAGTTTCTGATTGGGAGCCGCAGACGTGGTCACCCAAATAGACAGCTGCTTGCAAAAGAGCCCTCGCCCAGGCACGTCAGGACGTGTGTCAAGGTAGCACTACACTTTTCGAAATTGGAAAAGTTAACTACGACATTAATTGTAGTGTTTTTGTTGTAAATTTGTTGTGGAAAAAAAATTTCATTTCTCATTTTTTAAAAAAATATGGTATGTAGTGCTAACTTGACACCATACATCTAGTCGATAGAATTGAGATATCCAATATTTTACTATGCCATTAATTGTAGCTATTAACTGTAAAATTTGTTGTGAAAAGAAAAAATTTTTAGCTTTCGTTTTTCTGGAAAAAATTGAGTTGACCCTTTTTCGAACAAAATTTAGTATGTAGTGCTAACTTGGCACCATGCACCACTGACGATATAATTGAGATATTGAAAAGGTTACAACGGCATTAATTGTAGCTTTTTTGTTGTAAATTTGTTGTGGAAAGAAAAAATTTGTAGCTCTCGTTTTTAGGAAAAAAATGCTATGTAGTGCTAACTTGACACCATACACCTAGTCGATAGAATTGAGATACTGAAAATTTTATAACGGCATTAATTGTAGCTTTTTTGTTGTAAATTTGTTGAGGAAAGAAAAAAATTGTAGTTCTCGTTTTTTAAGAAAAATGGTATGTAGTGCTAACTTCACACCATACACCTAGTCGATAGAATTGAGATATCCAATATGTTACTATGCCATTAATTGTAGCTTTTAACTTTAAAATTTGTTGTGAAAAGAGAAAAATTGTAGCTTTCGTTTTTCTGGAAAAAATTGAGTATTTGAGTATTTATTGGATATCTCAATTCTATCGACTAGGTGTATGGTGTCAAGTTAGCACTACATACCATTATTTCTTAAAAAACAAGAGCTAAAAATTTTTTCTTTCCACAACAAGTTTACAACAAAAAAGCTACAATTAATGCCGTTAAAACATTATCAATATCTCAATTCTATCGACTAGGTGTATGGTGTCAAGTTAGCACTACATACCATATTTTTGAAAAAATTAGAGCTAAAAATTGTTTCTCTCCACAACAAATTTACAACAAAAACACTACAATTAATGCCGTAGTTAACTTTTTCAATTTCGAAAAGTGTAGTGCTAACTTGACACACGTCACGTCAGCAGGCATCTCTACGAACTGACGGACGAAGTCGAGAGGTTCATTAAGCAGCCTCTGGACTCGTCAGCATATCGACAGGTCCTGAACGGCATTCACAGGGAGTCAGTCTCGAGTTATGTAGACTCCATACGTGTGAATGCCGTTCTAGGCACACAACCACCGGACATCGACGAGACGGAGCTTCATCTGCCTCGGGAGACTAGAACTACAATAGCCCAACTTCGCTCTGGCTACTGCAGCAGGTTACACTCATACCTGAGCAGATTAGACGCAGATGTGCCAAATGAGTGTACGGCATGCGGAGAGACACCCCACGACTCGAAACATCTCTTCGTATACCCGGAAAACCCGACAACACTAACGCCTTTGTCCCTGTGGGCTGAACGCTTCCTGGGGCTTCCGTTAGTGGAGCTTGGCGACAACGTCTGAGATATTAACCGATCTGGGCGGGTTTGC